CTCTGCCTCCCGAGTGCTGGGATTAAAGGCGTGCGCCGCCACTGCCCGGCTCAACACAACTTTGTAACAGGAATCTTAAATGCTCTTATTAATAAAACAAACAAACAAACTTGGAGCCAGATATTGGGGTGAAAACTGCGAGATCAAAGGAATAGAACAAGCCACAGCCAACCTCACCTTACCAACTCCTCAGCCCAAGAGAGTTACTTCCTGCATACTCACGCCTATAACCTTTCTGTGCCCTGCCATCTTACTTCCTTTCTTCATCTAGCTACATCACTTCCTCTTTCTGCCCAGCTCGATCACTTCCTGTCTGTCTGTACAGACTAGTTAACTATGGTTTCCAGAGAGAGAGAGAATATGCCAAGGTTGATAAATATTAACTATGGTTAACTAGTGCTGGGAATTAAAGGCATGTGCCACCACGCCTGGCTCTGTTCCCAGTGTACTGGCTTTGAACTCGCAGAGATCTGGATGAATCTTTGCCTCCTGAATGCTAGGATTAAAGGTGTGTGCTACCATTGCCTGACTTCTGTGTTTTATATAGTGGCTGGCTTTTTCCCCAGATCTCAGATAAGCTTCATTGGGGTGCACAAATAAGATATCACCACACAACTCGTGGGGCTGGAGACACGGCTCAGCAGTTAAGAGCACCGGCTACTCTTCCAGGGGACCCAGGTTTGGTTTCCAGGACTCACAGGGCAGCATAGCTTTTGTAACTCCAGGGGGTCTGATGCCCTCTTCTGGCCTCTGTGAACACCTGCACGCATGTGGTACACAGACATATAGTCACACACATAAAATAATAAATAAGTGTATCCTTTTGGGAAAAGGGGGAAATATAAATTTTAAAAAATCTATATCAAGAGAAAAGTTAGAATTTAGCTCTGAACTTCCTGGTGGATAAAGTGGAAACCAAAATATAAATAATATTGTGTCATTTTCCAGAGAGAGATAATATGCCAAGGTTGATAAATATTTAGATTTCATTATCTCTAACTCAGGACTTTAATATTATCAAGTGCTGTCTTTATTTAGTGGTCTGGGTGCAAATTGATTGTATATTCATATTTTGTGTTTGTTTTTAATTTTTATTTTTTTATTTTTTGTGACAAGGTCTTGGTATATGGCCAGACTGTCTTTGAACTCATGATCCTCCTGCCTCAGCTTTTTGAGTGCTGAGGTTACAGCTGTGCACTGCCCTCACTCCTGGCTCAGCCTTCTGTGCCTTTAGAAGTGTGTCCACAGAAGAGTCTGCGTGTGACCGTTGTGGACACTCCCAGTGCCCTCATGTGGAGATGTTTTTCTGAGGTAAGCTGAGGCTGACCTTCCATCGAAAGACAAGTGCTGTGTTACCCGCCCAGGAGAGCAGTGCCGTCTTTGGCTCTGTCTCCTTTCTTCTGAAGGACGGCTCTTCCCTGACACAGTTTTTGCTAAAGTATGGGTGTGTTCTGCAAGTGTGCATCTCATTTTCCTTTCGTACTCTGCATCTTTACAGCATTTCATGCTGGCTGGAGAAGGTTCTGTCAGGTTCCACTGTTGGAACAGAGCAATCGACTGCTCAGTAAAGCCAAGCTCCCCAGAGTCATGTGGGGGAAACAGTGATGGCTTAAATGAGAAAGGCTTAGGTTTCCAATTCTTATTCTTAGCACAACCCCCAGCCTCCACACACAGACACATTTTGCTTGTCCATCATTGTCAACTCTTATGCTCTTTGGCTATAAATAACTCCTGGAACAACCATCAGGCCACATTTCAATAGCAATTTTCAAAACTCAAGTCACATTTTTTTAAATGTCCTTCACGCTTTTTTTTTTTTTTAAGCAAGAAGGATTTTTTTTTTTTACTCATTTTAATCTTGTTTACAATATATACTCTTGTCTTGGATTCACATGGCTTAAATTGAAAACCCTTTTCACAAAATATCGAAGTGAATAATGATGACTAAGTGGATGCATTGGGTAAACACTTCAACATCTAAAAACCTTCCCACTTCTGCATTCCTTTAGTTAGCCCTGATGTGCATTTCTCTGCATCTCAGCTGGACAGCACAAGATAGGTTAAATGCCAATGATAGTTTTTGGTGCACTCAAAACAGTTCTCAAATCTGAGCAGCAGGGATGGTGGCTCACGTCTGTAATCCCAGCCCTTGGGAGGCTGAGCCAAGAAAATGGAGGAGTCGGGCTAACCTGGGCTACATGGTGATTTCAAGGTCTACCTGGCTATATAGAAAGACCCCATCTCTGGGGGCGGGGGGGGG